AATATCATAATTTTCACAGTTATATCATGAAAATCATTGATATATATATAATTCCATTAAATAACTATCACTTATCCAATTAAATAAATTTAATTATTTTAATTATTATGATAAATTTTCCTATTTTATTTATTTACTATTTGGCTATTATATTTATTAGTTTAATTCAATTATTATAACATTTTCCTATTTTCATTTTGATCATTTTAATTTATTTAATTATATTTAGCTATTTGGTTATTTTCTATTTTATATTATTTAATTTAATTATTTTAGTTATTTTTAATAGTATTATTTATTATAAGCTATTTTGAATATTTTATAATTTGCTTTTATATATTTAATATAAATTTTGTAATATTTAAATAAATTATTTTAATTTTATATTAAATATATAAATTCTATATTAAATTTATTTTATTTAAAATTTTTAAATTAACTAAATATTTTTTTATAAAAATGAATTGAAGAATTATATTATAAAATATATCTTATTATATGTATTTTTATATAATAAATTATTATAAAAGTATTTATAAAACAAACTAATCAAATTGAATTTCTAAAATCATATAAATTAAAAGAAATATATTTTAATATATATAAAATTTTATATGATTGAGCTTAAAGAAAAATCACCTAATATAAAATTTTTTAATAAATTTACAATAAGTATAATATAAAAAAATGATTGTCATACTATTTAACTTTTTAGTAAATTTTATTATGCTTTTAATATTAATATTGCTAAACATAAATAGTACTTCACTTACATTTTGAACTAATTAAATAATAATATTTATTCAATGTAAAGAAAACACAAATTATATTAAAAAGTATTTCAGAAAGTTAAAATTAGAATAATAGTTAATTATTCCTTAAATTGTAGGATTTTGCAGGCAAATTTGTCTGATTATTTACTATAAATTCTCTTCTGATTTATTTTTATAAATAATTAATATTTTTAAGAAATTTTTTTTTAAATTTATAAATATATAATATATTATAATAAGTTTTATTTTTTAATTATATAATAAAAATTTTATGTTACTTAGAAGCTAAAAATTTGTAATTTTTAAAAAAAATTTCTTTTAAAAAATTTTATGATTAATTTATGATAAACTTTTTAGAATTCAATTTTAACTATATTAATCATAATAGAATGTTATAAAATTACTTATAAAGAAAACTTTTATTATTATAATTTTTATAATTTATTAAAAGATTTTATGATTTTAATTAATGATAAAGTGATTCAATTGGTACATAAATATATAAAGCTTTAAAAAATAATTATAAGAAATTTTTTGAAACTTAATTTTAAATTAAATTATTTTAAAAACTTTTTTAAATACTTAAAATCTTTGTTAATAAAGTTGATAAAAAATATATTAAACTTTATTTTTTATATAGTAATGATATTACTAAAATTAATATTTAACATTTTATAAAGAAATTAACTTTTTTTTTAATTTTACAGGCAAATTTGCCTATACAGATTAAATATACATAAATTATAATATATTAAATTTAAATAAAATATAACAAAAAAAAAAAATTATAAAATTAAAATATATAGAAGCTTATCAATATAAAAAAAGAAAATCTAAAAAATTAAACTTTACTTCATATATTAAATATAAAATAAGTTTAGATTTTACATTAATTTATAAAAATTTTTTTTAAATTTTCTTTTTTTTTATTAGCAAATTCCTATATATTACTTGATTTAATTTATTATTTATTATTAATAAATATTAATTTTCAGTATTTAGTTCAAGATATCATTAATTCTAAAAATGCTTGCTAAAACTTCTTCAAAATAATTTTGTCATACCACTTATTATGTATTTAATATAATTTTGTTTAATTTCAGGTTTCAGAGTTTTGTCATACCCCTTACTATTTTTAATATAATTTCAGCTGTTTATTGATAGCTTATTTTGGGTTTTTTCTCTCATTTTTAATTTATACTTATATCAAAAATTTGTAATTTTCATAATAATTAACAATTTATATTACTTATAATATTAAGGCAAAATTTATCTTTTCTAAAAAATAATAATTCAAATTTAAGCTTATTAATAAAAAGAGAAAATCTAAAAAATATTATTTTTTGAGTTAATGTGAAATCTAGATTATTTTACTAAAAAATCATATTTAGTTTATAAGTAAAAATTTAATTTTTTTAGATTTATTCCTTTTTTAACTTTAAATATTATCAAGCTAATAAATATAAATATTAATAATTATAAATTTATTATAAAACATAATTTTATAATAGGTGTAATAAAACTAGACCGTATTAATTTTAATTCAAATTGATAAATTTAGTAAATATAATCATTTTAAATTTTAAAAATTTTAGTAAATAAATAATTGTATTATTATAATAAAATTGACAATAATTATTTTAAAATGATAGAATTAAAAATTTAAATAATGTCTATAAACAAATACATGAAAACTATACTGAATTATATAAATTAGTTCTTAAATTTAAAGATATAACAAAATCATACAAAATATATAAATATTATTATGTATTATAATATTATAAAATTTTATAATTGATTTATAGTTTAAAGGTAAAAAAAAAGTAATTAATAATTTAAAAAATTGATCTACAAAATTGATCTACCGCTACTGGATGATTTACAAATTATATACAGTGGCTCACAAAAGTAATGCAACCACTAAACATAAAACTTTAAATCAATGTAACTTTTTAATCATAAATTATATCAAAATAAAATAAAATTTATTGAATTCCCGAATTAAACTTTATTAAAAAATAAAAAATTTATTCTGATTTAATCACATTCACGTGAAAAAAAACTATGTTACGATTTTCAAGTTTTTGGTGTTGCATTATTTATGTGACTTTTGGTAATCAATATTTAACCGGTTAGATTTAATCCAAAAGAAAATAACAAATGCTATACTAATACATTTATTTATTGATTTACCTTTTGTTACCACCTTGTATATTCCCCTTAGTCTTGATTACATCATTTACTCTTTTCAGCATAGATTCAATTAAATTCAAACATACATCGACCTTAATATCATTTCACACATCTTGTAATTTTTTCCACAGGTCTTCCTTTCCTATAGCTCACTCTGGAAGGTGTCTTAAATGACGTTCAGCTTCATTCCAAAGGTGCTCTATATGGTTTAAGTCTAGAGACTTTGCTGGCCAGTCAAGAACAGTCATTCCATTATCAAAATGCCAATTCTTAATAAGATTTGCCATATATTTAGTGTCATTATTGTATTAGAAAATTATATTTTCAATACTCAATTCCCAATCTTAAATGGATTCCATAAGATCTTCTGCAAGAATTTGCCAGTAAAGTTCTCCATTTAAATTACCATCAATTTTACAGAAGTTACCAATACCTTTTGCTGAAAAGCAACCCCAAATCATTGTTACCCCACTAAATTTTACTGTTAGTTTGACATGAGAACTTCTTAATAGTTTCCCTGGCTTCTTTTAGCAGTATTAGCGTCCATCTAAACCAAAAGCATGAATTTACTTTCGTCAGACTAGATTACCTTTTTCCAATCCTTTACAGTCCAATTTTAATGTTTTTTTGAGAAATCCAAGCGATGTTTTCAGTGTGTTTTTTTGAGTTAAGACTTCTTTTTCTTAATTCTTGATTTCAAACCATTTCTTCAAAGTGTTCAGTGTATGATTTCAGTCGAAATTTGAATCTTATCATGATTTTTAAGTACCCCTTGTATATCAACTGCTGTAGAGCATTCATTAGAAGCAATAAGTTAGAGAATTCTACATTCTGTGTGAATAGAAATTGCTTGAGAATAGACTTTTTTTTTATTTTTAAAACTACCTATCTCTTCTTTACATTTATAAATTCTAGTGACTGTAAACTTATAGACACCTTCTTTAGATGTGATGATATTTCATTAATAACCTTCTTTGAGAAGAGCAAAGATTCTTGCTCATTTTTCAATAGATAATTATAGCATATTGAGAAAAATTTTTTTGTTGGCAAAAGAGAGGGTTAGGATTTGTTTATTGTTATTGTTCTATATTTGGTAACCCATTGTTTTCGATTTTAATCTAGCCAAAACGGATGGACCCAGAAAACTGCAAAAGTAATGCAACTACTAAAATGGAAAAATTGCAGTCAATCTGCAGATCATGTGATTAAATCAGAATGTAATTATAAATTTATATTAATTTTGCTTTATTTTATTTTAATATAATTTATATTTAAAAAGTTACATTAATTTAAAATTTTATGTTTAACAGTTGCATTACTTTTGTGAGCCACTGTACTAAATATGGGTACCATAATTAAGAAGTTGCAACTTGGTTGCAACTCCTTGTAAATTTATTTTAATATAAAACTCAAAGTGTTGCAACTTAAGTTGCAACTAGATAAAAATTTTAAAAATAATTATGGGAACCATCTTTACACTGGATATATAAAATATTAAAAATGTTAATATTTGATATTGTTGATAATTTTAACATGTTTAATTTATTTAACATATATAATATTTTATATCTTTTTAATGGTTTTCCTTTCAAATTAGAAGCAATTTTACTTACACGTTTAAGTTAAATTTAAATATATTAAAAATTCATTATCTATCCAATAATATTTCTATAATAAAATTTATAATGTTAAAATCAAAAAAAAATATTACATTAATTAGTAACTTTTTGCATTAAGTTAAGATTAAAGTTTTTAAAATTTTTTTAATAAAATTATTTTCTTTATAAAAGCCAAAATTTATTTTTATTTTATTAAAAAAATTTACTATTGAATTTTTGTATAATATTAAATAGCTAAATAAATATATTAAAAAATCAATTATAATTTTTTATATAATATCATATTTATTTTGATTTAATTAGTTGACTGAACACCCCAATGATCATGTAGCCATTAAGAATATTTTATTTTTTTTTCATTTTAGACGTGCAAATTTGATTTTTTTATTTATTTTTTTTTTTGCAAAGGTTAATGGATATCGCTTGCGACATTATTGACGGTAAAACGACTTAAGATTTTTTAATTTTAAAAAAGAAGAAAATTTAAAATACATATAACGATAGTTAGTTTGACGAAAATGAAAATATTGAGTAGGTTATAAAAAAGTTTAATTCTACATCAAGTTCTTTATGTTTATATTTATAAACGAATTGTATAATATGGCAGAAGGATTTTTAATTATGTCGATATATTCTAACGCGATCCTCATAAATTTCTGCGCCATATATTTAATTTTTTTCAACAAATATCTTTTTATTTCATACAGATTTTTTCGGAACAGAAATTTTTAATCAACTTTCGTTTTATGGAAAGTTCATAATTAGATGGTACGTTGCATGTTAAAATTTGGAATTGTCTGAAAATGTAAAGATTAAGTGCTTTAGTAGTTAAATGATTTGATATTTATTCAGAAAAAATATTATTTTATTTTTTTATTAAAAATTTAATTAAAGCTAATAAAATTTAAAAAACTAAAGAGGATGAATAGTTTTAATAAATTTTATCGGCATCAGCAATAAAAATAGATTTAAAAAAACCCACAATGTATTCTCGGATCAAAAGGAGGTTATTTAAAAGGTTTTAATTCAAAAGATTGAAATATATTATAAATTTTATAAATCGTCACGCTTTAATAATTAGGGAACAGTTTCGGAAACCATTGTTCACTCAAGTTTTGAGCAGGCAGACATCGGGACTCAGCGCATAGAATTTAATTCCTTCGCTTCACTCTGGACCAATTAAATATCACAAATTGAATCGTCACACAAGCTGTCCGGTGGCTTAGAAGTTTAAATGTTACATGATTTACCAAGTGCATTTTTTTTTCACCAAGAAAATTTGATCATTTTCGCTATATCAAAATCTAAAATGCAAGCTGACAATAATTCGAATGAATGGATTAATTGGATTGAAGAATCTATCTCAAGAAAAATTATCAAATATTATGAATACAAACATTTTAGCAATGTTCTAGAAGTTGGTTCTGGCGGATTTGGAAAAGTTTATCGTGCAAATTGGAAAGGTTCAAAGCAACATCTCGCTTTAAAATCTTTTCATAACTTTAGCGATACCACCATGAAAGAACTTGTTCGTGAGGTAATAATATATAATAATATTTATTTCTTTCTATCTCGTTCTGTTTTGTATAAAATAATTTATATGTTAACATTTTATTCGCTAAATAATTTTAGCTTGAACTTCAGCGTGAAGTGGATTTTCATGAAAATATTATCAAATTTTTTGGGATCACATCAAATCAAGGTATGAAATCTTCTTAATTTGCAGTATATCGACTTTTATATTTTGTTTTTAGCTCATTAATACTTCATATATATATATATTTTAAAAAAAAAAAAATTAAGAAAACCAAAATGATCAATTAAAAAGGTATTGGTTAGTAATGGAATATGCTGATGGCGGCGCGCTTAGAAGTTATTTGAAGGAGAATTTTGATAATCTTAATTGGGAAGATAAATACAACTTGGCGTTCCAGTTGGCTTGCGCTGTATCGTGTTTACATGGCGAAGGAATCGTGCATCGTGATTTGGTAAACTTTCATAATATATATCTTATTTTGTTTATTATATATGAACCTTTGCTGATAATTAATTATAAATTTTTACAATAACAGCATTCCGGCAATATTTTAATTCGTCAAGGTGTTATCAAACTAGCAGATTTTGGATTATCGAAAAGGATTGAAACTGCAACTAAACAACAGTCAAAAGTTTTTGGAGTAATTCCTTATATTGATCCGCAAAGATTTGCTAGAAAAAAAAGAAGTGAAAATACATCGCGACAATTCATGCTAACTGAGAAGAGTGACGTTTACAGTGTTGGCGTACTCTTTTGGGAGATATCCAGTGGACGTCAACCTTTCTATGTTGAAGGTGAACAATATGATATTGATCTAGCGATTGATATTTCAGAAGGACTTCGAGAAAAGGCCGTTCCTGGTACACCTGAAAATTATGTGAAAATTTATACCGGTAAATATGTTGTAATTTTTTAAGTTATAACATAATTAAAATTATATAAGTTTTTATTAAATTTATTATGTATGATTTTTAGAATGCTGGGATAATGAGCCAGATAATCGTCCGATCATGAGTCAAGTAGTTGATCAATTAAATTCAATTATCGCAAATTTGAACAAGACAAAAGATGAAAAGATGAAGATTGATAATGAAGCAAACCTTCAATCATTACAATCATCAGCACAACATCGTTATTCGAGTAGTGTTATTGCATCTTCTAGTATTAATAATTCATTGCACAGAGAATTCTCTAGACTTTCGAGTAGTGTTAATGTATCTTCTAGCATTAATAACTCAATGCATGGGGACATGTCTCGAATGATTCAAAATTTTGATCAGGTTACTCTTGAAGGATCAGGATCAGAAGAATCAAACGAAGATCTACCGAATATTACTTATGATGATACCATTAAAAGTTTAACGATACATAAGCATAATAAGAATGACATCTTGAACACCGCAGGAGGATTACAAAGATATCGAAAATTAACAACACTCAAATTAGATTATACTGAAATAACTAGTTTACCCCCTTTACCAAACTCCCTTAAAGAACTCCGTTGCTCTTCTACCGAATTAACAGTTTTGCCAACTTTACCAGATTCCTTAACAAAACTCTATTGCAATTATACTAAAATAATTAGCATACCAAATTTACCTACCTCCTTGACTTATTTAAACTGTTACGATACTCAAATAGCATGTTTACCAACTTTACCAAATTCCTTGACAGAACTTCGCTGTTATTCAACTCCAATAACTAGTATACCAAATTTACCCAAATCATTAACCCATCTCAACTGTTGCAAAACTCGAATCACGAGCTTACCAACGTTACCACACTCCTTAACAGAGCTTCATTGCTATAATACATCGATCACTAGTTTACCGATTTTACCTAAATCTTTAATCAAACTATACTGCTATAACACCAAAATAACTAATTTATCAACTTTACCAAATTCCTTAAAAGAACTCCGTTGCGATAAAACTCCAATATCTAGCCTGCCAACTTTACCTAACTCTTTAACAACTCTCAATTGCTCTTATACTTCAATAACTAGCTTGTTATTTTTGCCTAACTCTTTAATTAATCTCAACTGTTCCAATACTCAAATAACCGGCCTACTAAGTTTACCAAACTCCTTGAAAGAACTTTATTGCAACCATACACAAATAAATAGCTTACCGACTTTACCCAACACTTTAACAAAACTTGAATGTAACAATACTCCGATGCCTACCTTGCCTATTTTACCTAATTCCTTAATAAATCTCGACTGTAGCAATACTCGAATAACTAGTTTACCAAATTTGCCCAATTCCTTAACGTATATTAGACCTGAATCTTTAAAACTCAATAATATAGTCACTAGCTCGCTAAATTTATCTAACTTCTGAACATTTTACGATAGCTCATCTTCTACACCTTTCCGCAGAGCGACTTTATTTGGCTTAAAAAGTTGTAATTTAGTCTCGGTAATTTTTTTATCAATTTAATAACATATTTTTGTAAAATTCTTGTAAATTTTAATAATAAGTTATAATTTAACAGTTTACTTAAATGTTACAATATGCAATTGTATAATTAACACTAGGCGTTGAATTTTAAATTGATCTAGATGAGTTTCTTAATTATAACAAAACTGCTGTTTTTGAATTTCCAACTGCGCAGCAAATTCCAAGTCAATCGGTAACTTCGAATCATATAACGATCCAAGGATCGTTCATAATCTGTAGAATCATATCTCAAGATTTTAATGGAAATTTGTCATTAGAAGAAGCAAAAATTATTAATAATTAAAAAACATATTAATTACTCTTTGTTTTAATAAATAAAATAAAAGGGATTTTATATTATATACACAAAAAAATATTTTTGTTTTTTCGCAAAATTAAACATTACACAACCTGATTTAATCCAAAATAAACCCAAATCATTTAGTTTCTAAATTCAGTATACATGTATGAAATAGTAAAATGTAATAGTAATAGTAATATAGTTAAGAGTGTAATAGTTAATTGTGTAAAAGTTGTGAAAACGGTTCTTCTTTGTACTTTGTTAGTCTCATTATTATGGTTTCTTAGAGAATCTATTTATAAATTGGATCATTAATGATAATCTTTTTCAAACCAGACCGTGCAATAAAGTCTTAGTTGCAGTAAGATTGACTTAATCTATATGAAAATTTATACATGGCTACGAACAATAACGAATTTAAATTTTTTCATATTGCTAAAGGGAGATTTAATCGGTCGGTATGTGGAACACTTTAACTGAAACACTTAATATTGTTAAATTTTTTATCATCTTGTTTATAATTTTTTTTTTATTTTATTATCTTTTATACATATAAAGAAAGAATTGCGTAATTTAAGAGGTATTTATTTTATTCCAAATTTCTCAGCGATTTATTTATTTTTTTTTTTTTTTTGGTTTTAAATTTTAATATAATTTTTATTTTGTTTATTTAGTTTTTTCAACCGCGTTTATCAAATATCAAATATAATGAGATAGAAACAATTAGTTGATATTTTCATCTGTTCTGTTCCATAATTTTTTTTTATTTTATTACATTTGTCCCACACACACACTGTAAAAAAAAAAAATCCTTCTTCACCGACCGAATCGAGTTTGAAAGGTTTTTTGTATTTGTTTTATAAAAAAAAAAAATAAAATGGTTATTAGCTTATGCCATGTATCCACTCCACAATACAACCCATGACTGGTATGAACTAAATAAGACGTAAGAAGATATCCTGTTGAAGACTCTTCAGTTCAGAAAGTCGCCGTAACTCCCTTCATCATAACATCTACTTGTTCTTATTAATATCTATAGCCGTAAGACGATACTCCAAGACCAGGTATTCCTAGACATCTTGAAGCTCATCAGTTCAAAAGGTCGCCGAAACTCCCTTCATCACATCTACTTGTTCTATAGACGCTCATAAATATTTTTTCATCCCAAAAGATCCAGTAACCGAGGGAAATCGTTTCGGCTTACCTTTTTCAAAATATTTTCCAGGTTAGGTAAGGTAAGGTATTGGGTTATAAAAGTGATGCGGGGGATTATGCTGAAAAATGGTTTGGTTATGGGAGGGTATTGTTTATTTATAAAAAGAACAAAGAGGACGAGGAAGAAGTATTAAAGAGGTATGAAAGGAACAAAGAGGACGAGGAAGAAGAAATTTTATTTTACTTTTTAATTTTTGGTATTTAGATTTATAATTTTTATTTGAGAAAAAATAAAAGGATTTGAAAGTGCCGATCTAAAAAACTCGGCATTTTTATACTCATAAAACACGTATTTTTAAACGCGTGAGGTGTAAACAAATACAAAAAACGTGTGATCAATTTGGGAAATTATTAAAAATAAACGCGTGATAAATTTGGAAATTGTGTGGTGTAAACAAATACATAAAGCGCGTGATCAATTGGGAAATAATTAAAAATAACGCGTGATAAGCCGTTATGATAAATATCTTCCATCAAAAAAGGCTCGGTCATGTGATTGTCCGAAGCGTAAGACGCGTAATTTACCAATCAGATTTCTTTTTGATGACATGTGATTTCTGTTTATCTTGTGTGTCATAATAAGTAATATTTTATTGTTAATTAATTTTATTATGATTGTCGAAGTATAAGCATAGGACTTTTATTTATTTAACTAGAGTTAGCAAGCGTCGCGTCGGACAGATCAATTTTATAATTAAAATATTTCGTGTAACTCTAATTGAGTTACTTCACTCTATAGACATCTAACAAAAAAATTATCGATCTACACTCATATTAAGAAATTGATAGACCAACCAATTATTTTCGATCATTATTTTTCCTTATTTTTTTTTTTTTTACATTGACGCGAAATTTCGCTTTAAAATAACTTTTTCAAGATCTTCTTAAAAGTAATGATAAATTTACAACTTTTACAGCAAAAATATATGTATTTTTATGCGAAGAAAAAGATTTTCTAACATAATAGAGTTAGTTTTTCAGATAAGTTTTATGTAAAATACAAAAAATCGATTTTTTTAATAAAAAAAAGTATTTTTATTTTATAAAAGTTTTAAAATAAGAAACCTTTTATAAATGTTATGTTTTTAAATGCAACTTGGTGGAAATAATAACTTTTAATAAGGTTTGTAATATCGCATTTTCTTTGAATGGTGTCATTCTAGCTAATTAGAAAATATTAATTCATATATTTAAATAATGTAGAAGCTTAAGAAAAATTATGCAAATAACAGTGTAAAGTATATGTTTATTAGTTTAAAATTATTATATTACAAGAAATAAAAAATTTAAACTCTTACTTACTTTGAATTATGAAATATAGAGAGGAAAAAATAATTATTTTAAAAAAATGACTAATATAGATAATGGCGAAAATTAAAGTATATTTTGATTCTATTTTTAATTTAATTTAATTATTTTATATTGTTATATTTTATTGCTAACATAAAATACCTTTTTTTTATTATATTTATGATTTTGATTTGTGATAGCTCCAATAATCTCTTACTTTTTTTTTGTTCATCCATCCAAACCATCCAAAACCTGTGGCAATAACTTTAAAATATCTTCTATTTCTTCTTCTATAGGTGAATTTAGTATTAACAATAGTATCAATAGATCTTTTTCTTCTTGAGTAATCAGATGACACATTATTTTTTATTTTTTTGATGATGGTTCAGAGATATCTTCAATATTTTATAACATTTGAATCTGAAACATTCTGAAATTCTAGAAAGAGAAAGATGATTGCTAAAGTAATATTAAATTATTATTATCCTATTGAATATATATTAGTAGGTATTTTTCTTGTAATTTATTAACTATTTTTTTTTTTTAATTTTTTCAATTTCTTTTTCAGCTTTTTTTATATCTTTAACTTTATTAACAATCACATCTTTAACTTTTCTTCCTTTAGTATTAATTGGTTCTATTTGTAATATTTCTTATTTATAAATTATTTTTAATCTTTCTAATCTTATATTATAACAATTATATAATTTTTGACATCCTTCATAATTTAATTGGTTATTATTTTTAAAAAATGAGAGTAATTTGAATCAAAAGTTTATATTAAAAGTTTTGTTAAATTCCAAAAAGCTTCATGATAATTTTTAATTGAATGTTTACCATAATACATTAAAAAGTAATTCCATTCTTTCTTGTTTTATTTATGCAGATTTAATTTGATACTTTAAGTTTTCTTCATTAATAATATTATCTGAAATATCTTCTTCTATAAATTTTACTCCATATTTTAATGCTTCATCAAATATAAAATAATATTCTTCTTTTGTTAAATTAATGGATCCAATATAATATAATAATTTTTTTTATCGTGGATTTTTGCAACTAAAGCTAAAAATGTACTATTGATTTAATATAAATTAGTTTTCCTGTAACTGAAAATAATGGAGCAAATGCTGCAAGACATTTAAGTTGTTTATTAGTATTTCCTGTTCTAATACCTACTCAATAAGCTTTCTACCAACTATACTATTTATAAAAAAGTTAAGTAATTTATTATCTTTTTCTTCTATTTGTAAAATATTAATTTGTTTTTTTGAAATATAAATATAAATTACACAAGCGACTGCTAACCATATTAAATCTAATACTTGACATGTAGAATAATAATCTACTACTAATTCTAATTTATCTAAAAATTTTACACCTTGTATAGTAGCAAGATTATAAATTTTATAACTTAAAAAAACTGTTGAAAGTATATTATACATATCTTTTAAAGTATACCATTGTTCTAAAATAGGTCTAATTCTTGTATTATTTTGATAAAGTTTAAGAATACTACAAAAAATTGCTTTATCATAATAAATTTCTATAGGTTACTTTTCAATTAATTCTAAATCTTTAATATATATTTCACAAGAAGCAAATATTTCTTCATAATTATTAGAATTTTCTCCTACTTCAAGTATTACAATATGTGATAATAAACAATTAAAGCTCTGCATGAGCTGGCTCAAGCCAGCTCACTATCGGCTCGAATTGAGCTGTATTATTTTGGCTTACGAGCCAGCTCATATAGCTTACATTATTAACAAAAATCTGAAAAAAATTTCAGAGTAATTGAAAAGTTCCGGAAAGTGATTTCCTTCAAGAGAATTATTTCAAAAATAGTTTCCTTTAAGAAAAATGTCTCCAAATTGATTCTCTTAAAGTGAAAATGCTTCCAAAATATTTTTCTTTAAGAATTACGTTGTCAGAGAATTATTCTTTAAGAATTACGCTCTGGAGCGTCATTCTTTAAGAAATTTACTTCCAAAACACTTTTCTTTAAGAATTTCACTTCTGGAACATTGTTCTTTAAGAATTTCGCTTCAGGAGTATTTTTCTTTTAGAATTAATCTCCAGAGCATTTTTTTTAAGAATTACGCTTCCAGAGCTTTTTTTCTTTAAGAATTGTGCTCCTAGAGCGTTTTCTTTAGAATTACGTTCTGAGCATTTTTTTTTAGAAAATTCACTTCTAAAGCATTTTTCTTTAAGAATTACGCTCTCAGAATATTTTTCTTTAAGAACTACGCTTCTAGAGCATTTTTTTATAAGAACTACACTTCCAGAATATTTTCTTTAAGAAATACACTACTGAAGCATTAATAATATGAATTGACTTATAGTTATTACAAAGTACAAAATTTATATTTATTTAGTTTATTTAATGAATCAAATTTTATTATTTGTAAAACAATAATTAAAAAAATTTAAAAAATTCTTAAAAATAATAAAAAGTATATATAAAGAATATAAAATAAAAATGAATACATAATAAA